TGGATGGTGATAAGAGTTGTACGAGCCCCCAATAAAATGACTTTTTAAACACCATAATTTTAAAAAAGAGAAAAGAAAGAAGAATCCTGGGCCATGAGCCACAAAGAAAATGCATTCTGATTCCCAAATTTAAAAATAGAATAAAGGGCGTAAATTCCCTGAAACCTAGACACACTCTAACCACCGTCCTCAGTGAAAGTGCGTAAGGTCGCTCCAGTACGGCCTGAAGCCTCGGCAGACCGCTGCCTCCGTCCTTGAAGAGGCACTCTTCGTCCTGGCTGCTGGCGGCTTTGAGGGAACTCCCTGCAGATGATCGGCAGAGCCGTGGGACCGGCGCCCACCCGGTTCTGCTTCCTGCACCATCTGTTTCCCTGTCCCCAGCCCCGGCCCAGGCGCCCACCACCACCAAGCCATCAGAAGAAATCAGAAGAACACCTCAGGGAAAAGAATCTAGGCTCAGAGGGAACTTCCTCTAAAGAGGATCAAACACTGAAGACTGTGCCTTTTCAAGTTTTATTAATCCTGGTTCATAATTTCCACCACATCATTACTCATTTCCTATTTCGGAAGGGCTGGCAGCCTCCGCCGCGGCATCGTGCAGGGAACGGCAAGACGGCGGTGCCACCTGTGCGCCTTCTTGACAGTTACCCGCAACCACATCTGGGTGAGAGGCTAATGTGTGCTCCCCCACCCCCCAAGAAAGGCAAGCCATTTGGAAGTGCAGCCCAGTTTTTGATCTCGCGCTAAATACTTTTATCCCCATCATCTCCCCAGCTGGGGCCTGGAAGTCATCATGTGACCTGGGGGACTTAGAACAGCAGCTAGGTGGCCATCCCGGGGGAGCAGGGGGAGCCCTGGCACCCCTCCTGAGAATGGGGGGGAGCCCCTGGCTCGAGTCGGGAGCGCACCAGCAGCTGGAGTTTAAAGAAAGGATGGAAAGTGACCAGAAGGTTGTCCAGCAAACAACGGGCAAAATGCAACATATAAAGAACCCGAGAGCTGCCTGGTCAGACGAATCCCACCGGGCCTCCCCCCAGTTGCACGGCCAAGTTTCTTGACATCCTGATCCCTGCGGCCAGAGGGTCTGGCCGATACCAAATCCCTCGGGGAGACTCAGCATGTGACAGACAGGCAGGATGCCGGCGCAGGCCTGTGTCCAGCGCAGACGTCATTCGGTTCTGGGAACCAAAGAGAAAGCTGACAATGGCAAAAGGGGCGCAGAGCAGTTTTTGGTGACCACACTCCTGGCTGCAGCCTCTGTCCCCGACCCATCCCGGGAGCTGTGGCCTGTACCCAGAACCTCCGGGCTGCATTTCCTCCGGCGGCAACTTCCGATGTCCAAGACGCTAAGGAAGAAAGTTCAATGGGGAATATTTCCATCGTTAAAAGGCTAACCCCTGGGAACGCCTGGCCCTTCCGTCTGGTTCATCCCAAACACTTTGCTAACGATTGAACGCTCGTGTTCTGACTTGGCAGAAAGGAAAGTTCCCAAGCTTAATTTTTATCTTTCCTGAAGGGAAACTGAAGATAGCAAGTGAAAGAGGGGGGGGGGCAGCTGCTTCTTCGAGGCCTCTCAATGAGGAGTTTTCTCTTCTCTGAGAGCTGCAGTGTCCAATGCGGTGCTGTGTACTAATGTTGAAGTAGCCCAGGCTTCCGCCCTGTCCAGCGATGGTGGTCTTGGGAGCCACTGAAAAGGCAATTCCGTGGGGTGCTAGTGTCAGCTACCATCGCAACTGAAATGGGAGAGTTGAAGAAATTCAATCCCACAATTGTTTTTTCGCTTAACAATCTGTTTTTCACTTCACACCTGTCCGTGCTGTGACCTGTCTCCGGGTAGGGAAAGCATCAGAGCATCCATCCCAATAGAATTGGCGGAGCCCTCGGTCCTTCGGATGCCATAGTGGTTACACCTTGGGCTGTGACCCGCAAGGTCAGCAGTCCAAAACCACCAGCAGCTCTGTGGAAGAAAGAACGAGGCTTTGTACCTCAGTGAAGAGTTCCAGCCTGGGAAACTCACAGGGGAAGTTCTACCCTGTCCTATAGGGTCGCCACGAGTCAGCACCGCCTTGAGGGCAGGGAGTTTGCTTTGGTTTGGTGGGATCCTGCTTCATATCTGGCCTCTTGACTTCTCAGATGCTTCTTGTAGGACCACATAATTCAAGTTCGAGGCGTGAATGGGAGCTTTTTGAGGATGGAGGAGCAAGTACTGTCAGAGTCTCCTGAAGTATTTTCAACCTTCGGATTCTACTCTTCATTCGCTCCTCTGACTTTTAAGTGCTAAGTCCACCAACCGACCAAATTATCCAAGTATTGGGAAGGAGTAACCACAATTTTCCCCTTCCTTCTGATAAAGCGACATCCCACATTCTGTATCCTTGACCTTCATGCCAATTTTTTTCCACCAAAAGCTACTGAAAAGCAAAAACAAATGTATTCGTAGCACTCTAGCGGACAAGAACAGATCCTTAATTTCCTTGTAGAACTTTCCTCATTAAATTCTCTTCAGGCCTCTAACCTCCTTGTCCACAGTCCTTCAGGTATCGATGCCTAAACTGTGTGACTATTCAAAAAGCCACCTGCCTCATCAATGCCCCCTTGTGAGGGAGCCAGCACTCCAGCGCTCTCGCGAGCTTGTTCCTAAGGAGTTGGGGACACAAAAGACGCCCTCTGACAGACGCTGATGCCGTGGCATTTAGTCACATGGCCACTAAGGAACTCTGACCATGTCATCAGGGCCTTTTTCTCCCTTCTTTCCAAAACTTGTTCACCCACCCACCACACTCTCCCCCCTATCCCCCCTTAACTCCCCCTCCCATCACACCCACCACACTCCCCCCCTTGGTCGCTGAAACCAGGGGTGATTTGTATCTGCCTGCAACCTCATGCTCCCACAGGTTCCAAGCCGATCAAGTGGACTTCAAAAATGCCACCGTTTCTTCTTAAAAAGGCCAGGCCGAGCTCAGTACGGTGGAGACAGAAAACAACCCCTTATCATGTCGGAAGTAATACTTGTGGTTATCTAAAGCAACGGTAATCGTATCATACACTTTATCTGTGCGGGGCTCTTTCCTTCCAGAAACATCTTCTCTTTCATAATGAGCCCCATTGAAACGCCAGCAGCCAGACCTCTGCCCTTGGCAAGGTGCCATTCCTTCGCACAAGCCGGTCATCTTCTCGCGAAATGCAGCATGGCAGGGAACAGGGCTGAAGATCTTCTGGAGCCATCAACTGTCAAGGGCCAAGGTGACAATAGAGCTTGTTTGTGTTGGGGCCTTTGGGGCACAGATGGGAAACAGAAATTTGCAATTCTGGGGTCAGCTCATTTGCTCCAGGCTCAGGAGAGAGGGTGCACGAGACAATATAAAATTTTCCCTCATAATTACCACTGTGTCATGAAAGCCAAACCCTCTGCTATTGAGGCGGTCAGAGTTCTCTTTGGCTGATAGTTATCTGTCAGCGCATCACATCAAGATGTGCTCGGCCACATTCTCAGTGCCAGAGGGGTCTTTGTAATGGAATCGGGGAGGATGACAAAGCAATCACGGGCTCTTTGGGACGCATCCGTCTGACTCATACCCTGCC